ACACACACACACACACAATCAGTTTTATATATGTTGTTCTTTCTTCTGTTGTCTATCTTTCCCTTGATTTTTTCTGAAGTTATTTTTGTGTGCCTAACTGAGCACCCTTAAGCAGTGCCAAACAGTCGGTGGTTCCTCGTTTGGAGTGCCTACTGCACTCTTATGGGGGCTGCTCGGTTCGGGATGTCTGCGTTGCCTGTCAGTGATGACGGATGTTTGTTAGAGCGACTCACTGGCTCAGTGGGTGGTGGGAACCAACAGTCTGCGGGGTTCAATCGTGATGTGAGTAGGTCATGTGTTGCTTTGCTCCGTGTTGGATGTGTGGACGTCCTCGTCTGCGCTCCGCCGCTACCTTGCTACCTGTCCCGCTCGCTTCGCGTGTGAATCTTTGTGGGTTGACGTGTTCGCTGTGCGGTGTGGCCGTGTTGTTGGTGTTGCCTTGCGCTTCGCTGCTCCGTTGCCGTGCTGCTCATTCGTTGGCCGTGCCGTCTGTGCTTGACGCTTGTGTGCCCTGTAGGTTGGTTGCCTTGTTGCTGGTGCCTTGTGCTCTGCTCCACGGTTGCCCGGCTGCTGGGTCACTCGCCCTGTCGTCCCCTGCAGTGTTGTTGCCTTGCTTGTGTTGCCTTGTGCTTCACTACACGACTGCCGCGCTGCGTGCCATGTCGTTCCTTGCAGTCGTTTTTGGCGTTGTGAAGTCATGTTGCCTCTACTGTGTTGCCTGGTGCTTCACAGGGTTGCTGCTCGATGCTATGTTCCTCTTGGGGACAGTCTGCCTTCAACAAGGGTCAAAGGGTTCATGACCCAAACCATCAAATACGGGGATTCCGCAGATTGTCGAGGGTTCAGCCTCCCGATGAGTCGGTGCAACTCCGATGAAACAATCTTTCATCTTTTGTTTTTTTTCGCTTTGTTTTTTTTGTGTTGTTTGTTCTTTTGTCTGCCTTGTTGCCTTGTTGCCTTGTTGTCGCCGTCTCATTCTTCTGCCTAGTGTTGTTTGTCTGCCTGCCCGCCTCCCCCATACCCTCCACCCTTTGATCTCTGTTGCGGTGTGTCATCCAAGTATCGTGTTGTGTTCTGGCCTCAGCCTTGCAATTTTGTTTGTCTTGTTGTACTTGTCTTACCGCTGGTCGGTTCATTTTTCGTTTTATGAGTATTAAAAGTCGGGCTTTATAAGCATTCTTTTCTATGGGCATCCCTGTCTGCGAGCTCTTTCTCGGTGTTGTTTATAAGCGCACTCTTCAGCACAACATGTTGTGACGTGGTTGCAGAATCCAGGCAATGCATAAAACACACACACACAAACATGCACGCGCACACACACACACACACACATACACACACACACG